TTGTGCTGACTAGCTGCAAAAGGAGGTCAGCACAAAAACTCCTTGTCCTAAGGACAGTACTCACACAGGCGCATCGAGCCCCAGTTGGTATGAAAAGGAGAAAACAAATGGGAGAGGCCTGTGGAGTAAGAAAGACACAGAGATCCACCCTTAGAGGAAAAGGAAAATAAAAAGGGTTACACAATGACTCCTTCTATGATGCTTACGAAAGAGAAGGAGCACTGCTGGCCTGGGATTTAATTCTGGTATCATCCCTGTTGTGTATTTACTACTGACTTTACCCCTGTGTGAGCAAGATCAGACATAGCTTATTAACTGAAGAGATGCTTAATCCTACTTAGTCATCAGGCATGAGTAAGGGCTACAAGTATTTGACTTCTTGTGGAAAACAAAACAAAATATCTAAAAAATTATCTTCCTCTTCCAACTTCGCAATGCCAGAGCAATAGACTTTTCCTAAAACATCTGTAAAGTTGAATAACAATATTACACAAGAAAGAACACAAGAAATGTGCTCAGGTTTGTGAACACATGCACAAGTACATATGAAATGCAGCAGGTGTAAGCTTTAACAAACCCCTCACAAGCCTGACAACATTCTGTGGCACTCAGTGCCAGTACTGGCATCATCCATGAATCACTAAGACAAATGAAGATGTTCCACTTTTCACTCTGGACACCTTTTTCAAGAAAAATAAGAGACTCGGGTGGAGGAAGGAACGACTTCTCTGTGGTGGAATATCTACCAACAAGGAAGACATAGAACCAGATTTGTGTAATTCTGGACATGTCATTCTGAGCCTGCACAGAGAAAGCTGAAAGGAGTGGCCTGCCCATTTTCCTTCCCTCAGGTTCAAGTGCAGTGTGATCCTTAACTCCTGGAAGGCAGGGCCTTAGCCCAGAACGGGTAAAGAGCAGGACTGGAAAATACTGATGTTTCCAGCCATGTTTTCTCTGACTTTAACTAATTCTGAATTGGCATAGCCTACTTCAGCAGTGGAACAGATGATCTAATAGGTTATTTGACTTCTGTCACTAGTTCCTCTGATCTAAATAACATTTTAAGTTTAGGTGTTTAACACACAATTTCCTAAGTACTGGGTTTAGAGAAGGAAACAGAGAGTAAGGCAGTGGCTATCAAACCCACAACAATGCTAAATTAAAAAAAAAAAGTCTTGAAGGGCCTTAAAATAGGAAAAAGTAGCTCCAGCCTCTTTATAGTTTACAAAAGAGCTCAGATGTAAACAAATGTGTACTGGAAGACCAGTGTGATAATTACACATGCCACTGGACACAGAATGCATGGTAAGAACAACAGTCACAGGGATCAGAAAAGTAAGTGATATAATTTGCAGTTATTATTATGTATTTGGCTATTATATACTAAATATATGATTTATTCTCTATATAATGTATGTGTATACACACACCTACAACCTCTGAACCCCACACATAACATGGATGCAGAGCCAAGAAGACTCTTGCACTAAAAGAAGCAAACAAGAAAGCAGATTAGTTCACAAAGAACCAAAGAACTGATATAATGTGTTGATATTTCCTGGAACCGATCCAAAGATGAACAGCAGAGTTTTGGATGAATTGCAAATTTTCCCAGTACTTCCTCTGAAAGCCAGGCTGGTACAGCATTTTAATAATCCAACCCAAAATCACAGAAAACAACTTTGTGCCGGGTTGAACTGGGGAAGGGGGAAAGGTCCACAAAGACATTTATAAACTATTTTAATTTCTGTGCACACCCCAGTCCATGCCTGTGTATGAGCAAACTAGTTCTGTAATAACCCACTGTTCTCCTCAACAGAAGAGGCTGCGGTACTTATAAATGCAGGTATTTCAAAATTCAGCAAGTGAAACCTTTCTCTCCAACAAGATGCAGACTCAGGGTAGTTCAGCAGCTCATGAAATAGAGCCCAGCCGATGCTCCCACGCTGCACTTGGACAAAAGGCTCCCACTGATAACCTCTTGTCAGCTGACAGGGAATCCTGAACAGCGCAAACTGCACAGAGCCTTCCCTGAACTCGGACAGGGAGGGAGGGAGGGAGCAAATTGTGGGGGAGGTCACAAGAATCACTGCACAAACTTGTGCTCCATCCAGTGAAGACAATCAGAGTGCATGTCTTTAAATAATCGTGTTCTAAAGCCGTTTTTGGGGTTTTTACCCAGCTTGTGTCAGTACCTGGGAGCTTCTGGGAGGGTTTGTGGGGTGACTCACTGCCTGGATTAAGCACACCTCCCCTCCCTTCTCAGCATCTCTCAGTTTGGAGGACACATACACACACACAGAGATTATATTTTCCTTTAATTTGCTTTTATTAAAAAAAAAAATAGAAAAAGCATTTCTTGCTGTCCTCATTGGGTTTCTTGTCATTTAATCCAAACAGCTTCTTTTCAAAATCATGCAGTTTAATAATATGAGTGAAAAATCTAATAATGATTTTTGTGTAAAAAGAAGAGTCAAGTAGTAACAGATTGTCAGCAGACTGTTCCAGTGTAAAAGTTTACACTGCAGTTAAATAAAAATTATGGTGTACATAAGCACTTAAACTTACCATACTGGTATGATGGCTAGAAACGAAGAAGTTTGGAAGTTTGGTTTTACTGCAAAAAGCATAAACGTCTAAAAGAAAATAATTTTCAACTGCTTAAAAAAGAATAATCCCTTGGGTTTTAAGTACTGCTTTCATGTTCCCATGGATGCTCCCCAGTGTCCTCAGACATTAGTCAAAAATCATAATTAACACTTTACAAGTGAAACAAAGCAGATGATGTCTCTAGATTTTTTTGGCAACATTTGTGTATTAAAAAAAAAAACAAACGGAAATGGGTCTTTTTTTGTAATAAGGCAGTAGAATTTATGTTTTTAAGATTAAAGGCATCGGGCACATTGAGTATATTCAAATAACATGAAGATCATAGCCCAGGAATTGAGTTATGATAAATTTCATAATAAACTACCTCTTAATTAGGCTACTCTTAGCTCCTCAAATGTCCCAGCCAGAAAGGATCTAGTAACAGTGAGAGCTGAAACTGCCCTTCCTCCTTTTATTTTTTCCTTTTTCCAACTTTCACATTATAGCTTTGGCTTTCTGTCCCACACCTTTACGGGAAGACCAATTACCCGCTTATCAAAAAATCGTGCCTTTAATGCCTCAGCGCCGGGGCTTGGGAATAAGGGGAGAGGACAGCCGGCCGCCAGCCGAGGCCCGAAAGCAGCCGGAGCGCTCTGGAGCTGGACGGGCACACAGCACATCGCACCGCTGACACGGAGAGAAACCACCCTGAGTGTCCCCTGAGCGTCCAGCCCCTCTCCTGTACCTTGTGGAAGACACAGGAGGTGCGAAAAGGGATTTGAGGACAGCCGGGTGACGAAAACACGGTCCCTGCTGCCGGGGCTTAGGGAGTGACTCCGTTCCTGCCCCGGGATAGGCGCAAGCCGAGGCCGAGTACGCGATGAGGCGCGTGTTTAAAAGCCCCGCTGCCGAGGAAGAGCGCCAGAGAGAGGGACGAGAAGCACGGTTGTGCCTCGCTGCTGACATCAGGAAAGCAGCAAGATGCCAGCGAGGTCCTTCTGCTTCCCGTTGGCCAAGTGCACCGCACGCACTCGGCCGCCCCCGCCCGCCGCTTTGTGCGGGCCGCCCGGCCCCGCTCCCTGCGCATCCCCGCCTCCCGCCGGCCTCGCCGGGAGACGCCGCGCTCCCAGCCGGGGAGGCGGGGGCAGCGCTCGGCGCTGAGCTTTTGTTCGCCGCTGCCGAAGCGATCGCCGCCGTTGGGGAGCGGGGCTGCGGGCGGCGGGGCGGTGCTGCCCGCCCGCCGGGGAAGCGCTGCCCGGCACTCGCGGCCGGGGCTGGGCAGGCTCGGCGCGGCCCCGGAGAAACACAAGAGGCGCGGAGAGGGGGAGGGCGAGAGGCGGCCCCGCCACCCGGCCGCTTTGTCACAGAGCCCTCCCCCGGAGGCCGGCGGCAGCTGCCGCCCCGCCGGACCCTCCCGCCCGGCCGCGCCTCCGCGCAGGGCGGCGACAGGGAGGGACGTGCGGGCCTTGTAAAGCGCACGCTGCCATCGCACCTCCCTCCTCCCGCCGCCCATTGTGCCCCGGCCGACGGGAGCGCCCCGCTGCTGCCCGGTGCCCGCCCCCGAGCCCGGGCGCCCCCGCCCCGCCGCGGGGACACGTCAGGACACACACACACACAGAGAGGCGTGTGCCCCGCGGCTGAGCCGCCCGCCTGCCCCCGTCTGCCGGGACGAGCACCAGCAGCGGCCCCGCAGAAGCGGCCGTAAAGGAGGCTCGGCCGGAGCGCAGGGCCCGGCTCCCCCCACACCTCTGATTATTCATCGGCGCAGCCTGGCAGTGGGAAACTCCGCTTCCTACTTGCCGCTACGCTTCTACCGGCTCAGCCCCCGCCCCTTCCCCCCCCCCCCCCCTCCGCTCCTCGCTAAGCTCCTTAAATCCCGAGAAAACTTTGGGAAGCGATTCAACTCGCGTGGGGAGCCGGGCTGCTGCACGCCGGGGCAGCCCAAGCGAGAAACCTGCCCAACTTTTCCTGCAGCCGGCAGCGCAGCCTGCGGAGTCACCGTGCGCCTCCCTCCGCGGCGGGATTTAAAGGCGGCCAGCCCCCCGCACGGAGCAGCCGTGGCCAAACACACACACACACACATACACACACACACACACACACACACACACACACACACACACAAAAACCCTCCCCCGGCTCTCGGCAAGGCGCACGCCTGGCACCGCTCCTTCCCCCTTACCCCAGAGCACTTCTACCCTTCGGAAGGGGACCGGGGGAAAAAAAATAAATTCTCCGCTCCCTCCACCCCAGCCCGCGAGAAGTTGCGAAGCGTCCCGCCAGAGACCCTGCCAAAGTTGAGCCGAGCCCCGTTCCCCCTTGACAAGCAACGGGGCCGACCTGCAGCTCATCCCGGCCAGCGACGCGGAGCGGACCGGCCACCCCTGCGCCCCCGGGCCGCATCCCCTTACCATGATCAGCGTGTGGTTCCTCTGCTCCGCCGTGGCGGGCTCAGCATCTTGCTGCTGTTTGCTCTGGTGCTGTTGCTTGCTGCTGCTGCCGCCGGTGCCCGTTTTCTTGGCCCTCTGCTCCAGGGTCCGCTGGTAGAGGCTCACCGTGTCCCTGCGCTCCAGCTCCAGCTGCTCCGCCTGGGCTTGCTGGTACCTGCTCTCGCAGTTGACATGGTGCCGCCGGCAGCCCTCGATGCGCTGCCTCAGCCGCTCCACCACCGTGCTGTGCTTGGGAATGCCGCCGCTACCGGCGGTATTGTTACCGGGAGCGGCGGCAGGAGGGCCGTGGGGAGAGCTGCTAACCCCGACACCGGCCCCGCTGAGGCTGCTCTTCAGGTTATTGTTGATGCAAATACTGCTGCCATTCGCGGCGGCAGCGGGGGCTGCGAAATCCCCCATCCTCGTCCCCGTGCACACTATTTTGGAAGAACTTTTTATCCTACACTTCACACATACAGTCTCCTCTGGGGTCCTGATGGGATACTTTTTAGAGAACCGGCGAGGGGGGGGGGAAGGGGCACCATCATGTATCAGGGAAACAGCGATCCCAAGCAAATGTTTCTCTTTTCCCCCAGCCAATCCCTCTCGAGAAGCTCCAAAACATTAAAAAGAGAGAGGGAAGGGGGGAGGGAAATAGAGAAGGTGCTAAAAGGTTATCGCCAGCAACACAACCAACACACACAAACACACACACACACACACACACACACACAGAGACGCACACAAAAAGCACAACAAACTAAGCAGCAGCAGTTCGGGTTAGCAAACTCCAGAAGATATCAGACCAGTTCCTTTCCTCCTCTTTCTTTTTTATAATCCATTATTTCAAAACAGATTCCATGAGATTTCCGGAGATTTTGCCAAAAGCCTTCTCTCCCCATGGATAAGGAGAAACACGCGCCCCTCCACATGCACACACATACACACCCGTTCACACGCACGTTCGCACACACACATCCAAGCACAGGCACACGCTGGGTACACACGGCACACTCACTCGCACTCCACGGCATCAAAAGACAGGCAAAAAGCCGCTTGCTTATTGTATTTTCCTTCTAGAAAAAAGTTTTGGTGTTTATGCCGCACCGTGTTCGCAAAGTACTTTGGCTGCTCAGTTGCATTTCAACAGGAACCTAAATAGCAAATCCTCGGGCTGGGGGAAGTAAACACATGAACAATCCGGACCGAGCTGGAGAGGAAAAAAAAAAAAAAAGAAAAAAAAAAAAAAAAAGTAGCGCTCTGAAGTCTCTGCCAAACGCGGAGCTGATACAGCCTAGCGCTTTGCTCTGTCGTGCCGGCTGCTGCTCCTCCTGCCACCATCACAATGATCAAATGCTCTCCTCCTCCACCTCCTCCTCCTCCATGCCAGCGGAGTGATACCAGGACAGGAGCGCTCAGCAAACACCGCAGCGGCGGCGGCGGCGGCGGCGGCTCCTCCGGGCCGTGAGGCAGGCCCGGGGACAAGGTGCAAAACCCGGCACGGACGCGGCCCGCCAGGAGCGGACATGGCGCTTCCCCAGCGGCGGCGGCGGCGGCGGCGGCGGCGCGGGGCGGGCGGCAGCGAGCGGGGCCCGACACCTGCCGGCCCCGCGGCCTCCCCGCACCGCGGGCGCGGGCGGAGCCTCCCGGCCGGCGCTCGGGGCCCGGCGGCGGCCGCAGCGAGGGCCAGGGCAGCGGCGGGGCCTGGCGGAGCCCGCGGGCGAGCGGCGTGTGCCGCCTTCCCCTCCCGCGGCAACTGTTGCATAATGGATGGGAGCGGAGCGCCGAGCCCTGCGCCTCCCCGGCACGGGGCTGAACTTTCTATTTTAAACAACACGAGAAACACGACACGCCGGGCAGCAGCAGCAGCGCTTGTCCGAGCGAACGGCGGCTGCCTCCATGCAGAGCGCGGGTGATTAATGCAGCAAGAATAACATCCCGGGAATCTAGTTTTAGTCCGTTTTGCAGACAAAGCTATTGCGCCCACAATTGTCGTTGAGTGTTATTTTCTATCTAGCCCTGTGAGAAATGCACTTCCAATTTTTTTAATACATCTGTATAGAACAGAATTATCTCAGAGAGACACCCGTGTTCTCTAACATGCAGCTGATTTAACGAAAATTGGCAACTCATGCATTGGTAATGTAATCTGATTTAAACCATCTTCATTTTTGCCATTGCAGATTAGCATAGGATACTATTTCTAAGATACAGTGATAAAGAGCACTCTTTGTCTTATTTAAGTGCTCAGCAGTATGAAATTTGGGGTTGATTTCATGCCTATTGCCACAATTCATGACTGTGTTGAGATGGAACATAATAGTGGACAAATAAAAATAGCAATTAGTACCTGTCCTACGCTGGGATTAACAAACAGATCTTCTCCCCAGAAAAGAAAACTTTTCTGTGGTATCAGTTTGAGAACCACAGTGAATTCACTTGAAGTTCTTCATGATCATTGAATACTTACTACATTATCACGGAACCAGCACGGGGAAATTACAGCTCTGCTCAGAAGCAGCGTAAGAACGCGGAGAAACTGCAGTCCTGAGTCAATTACAGAGATTTGTAATTGACTCTCTTAATTTGAAGACGGGGTAGGGGGAATGTGTTGTAATTTCTCTAGTAACTGAATTTCTCTGGTGACTGAATAGTTAAGATTCGATGTAAGAATAGAAAGAGGACGAAAAAAGAAGGAGGGGAAGGAATTTCAGGAATAATAATAATAATAATAATAATAATAATAATAATAATAATAATAATAATAATAATAATAATAATAATAATAATAATAATAATAATAAATAATGGAAACTGTGATGAGGCCAGGGAGGGAGAGGGCTGTGCAGAAGGTTTACCCTGGAGCCAGCGCTTTTTGGCTTCCTCAGCAGTGCCCCCTGCAGCCCGCAGCTCGTGTGCGGAGCACTCGAGTCCAGCAAAGGAAGCGTTTATTACACCCACCGGGCAGAAAACACGTGTAAAAGCAGCGGTCTTCTTACAGGCTGCTTTTCCCGTGCATTTTACACAAGTTGTCTTCTTTCCCTACGGCTGCAATTAATAGCATTTGTCAGTCTCTATGAAGTCACACAAACACACCTTAACTCCCAGCATATCACTCTGGCAGCTGTCAACGTGGTCATTTTTAAGTGTAAGCTGTGTTAAAAATGTAGGAATTTTTTAATCTCTCGGCTACGTACCTTGGTTCTGCCAGGCTGCACGGCCCAAGGGTGATGATTTGAGTAAAAGAAATGTCGGAGTAACCAGTGCTTGGTGTCAGAAGTTTTGCAAACAAATCACCAGTTTTGTGGAAATAAAATACCGACCAACCAAAGAAAGGAAGAAAGAAACAAAACACAGAACTCCCCCAATAAAACCCCTCCGTCTGAATACATTCAGAACCCATTTGGTTCTGACTAAAAGATTTTTTTTATTGGCTGAAGTTAAAGCAAAGCTGAACAAATATATATTTATTTCCCCAGTCATTTTAACAGCACGGTGGTGATTCTTGTATTATTCTACAGAACAATCTTTTATAAGATAAGGCACTCCCTTCCTATATCTAAAGACAATCAATGGAATCAGAATTTTCATTTCATTAAACAATGGCAGTTGTCCTCTGTTACTTTCCAGCACCTAAGAGCTAACTAAAAATTTTCTTCTCGTGGAAGGTTTTTCTTTTAAGCCAAGTATTGAGTGGCAATGGTAAAATAGCATAATAGAGATAAGATTTCACAGTTGATTTTTGCATCATTTCTTTTAAGGACACTTACATAAACAATTACCAGCTTCTAAAAAGCTAAAGTAAAATAAGCTATTTAGTGAACTATTTAAATCCAATTTTTGAGAAGGACAACACTTCTGCTAAGCCTCTGAGACTGAAAAAACAAAAGCAAGAAACAAATTCCTTGTATTATAGCCCGAGCAATACAAGAAATAGAGAGATCTCAATTTTGTTCTGACTACTGATTATTGTCATTAAAACAGATGCTCTTCACAGCCTTGAGCACACAGCTCTGTTCTGTAGTCAGACACAATCACAGACTCACTCATGATTGTGTGTGCTCCTACTTTTGTGACCCTGGACTTACCAACAAACACCTCTTCTGTGGAAATTCCCTTTGCACACACAAATGTGTCTATTTGCTCTATAACCTTTTTTCCCCTGTTTGCACATCAGCTTTGGAATACCACCTTCCCAAGTGGAATTTGAAAGGAATCAAATCTACCAGAATTCGAAATGATCTAAGATGAACTTGCTGATGGCAGCAGATGAACAGTAATGCCTACTGGTATCAGCTGACAGGACACTAATTACCAGCTCCAGGAGATGATTGCCTGGTGAGAGATCTATTCAGTGAGTTAGGAGTTTGAAAAATGATAAAACAGGCCTGATCTGTGAAAAGATAACGCAGTATGAAAATACAGCATACGTTCTCGAGATGATTATCGTGACAGAGATCTGTCTAATTAGGAAGGAACTATTTTAATGCTAAGATATGAAAGAGCCCAGCTGGGAGAGGAATTTAGAGGAAGACACAGAAACATGACTGTTAAGCTGACAGCAAGTGCAGTCTAAGCATGTTCCAATGACAGCTTCTAAAAAAAAATTCATCTCAGCATTTAATCAATAGTGGTTTCAGAACAAGCACAGCCTTACAGATAATCTAGCTAGTCATATTAGTGGGAGGGGCTCCATAAAAATACATTAAATATGCCTTTGCAGAGCACTGCAGTTGGTCAACTGAGCTAGACAGTTATTCAGGGCATGGGCAACATGAAAAATACCACTGTGAGCTCAGACAAATGGGGGTCCCACTCTATTAGAAACCACACTTCAGTGCCTGGCACTGCCAGTCAGCTTGGAAACTCCAATCATTGTGACAGCAAGTTGCCAACCATCCTGGGCAAGAGATTAACCTTCAGAGTGGCCGCCTGGGCAGGTTTTTTATTAAAAAGTTTTTTATTAAAAACCTTTCTGAAAGCTCCTACTAGAATTAAATGGTTTATGTCTAAATCACATGGTGAAATGGGCGTCTGCTGGAAGGCAAACCTAGGGCAGCCACACCGTGTGTTCACTGAGTAACTTTGAACTTGCTGGGTCTGCAAGGAGCAGCTTTCTTATATATTGAAGAGGGTTTCAGAGGATTTCTGCTGAAGGTTCTCTTGGACACAGTGCTACCTAACAGCAAATCAAATGTGCTTCTGTTGCTACCACAAGCTACTGAAGTGCATGTTGCCTAATGCATCCATGGCCAAAAAAAAAAAAAAAAAAAAAAAAATAATAATAATGTCATTTGGAGAACAGTAAAAGCAAAGCTGTATATTGAGGGTCCACTGAAATCTAAAAACCCCACAACCTCCATGAATGAATGTATGTGTGAAATCCCACTACAGCATGGCAAAAATTCTCATGACAGTTG